CGTTAATGAATGTTTTCGCTTGTAAACTGAGTGAAAAAATAAACCAAATGAAACTCTGATGGTGGGAAGACTTCTGGGAGAGTTCCATGTAACACTCAGGGCATATAAGGCAGTTAGAACTTATCATGGGTACGCAAGTTGTTTCAATACCCAGAATAATAAACCTTGAGCGAAGTAATCCCTACATCCGCCTTCCATCATGCTTTCAATAGATAGGAGTACTTTCGTCAGATATTTCTGATTGGGCCGAGACCGCTCATAAGAATTTCGTTGTCTGGCAGCTTAAAAAGTCAACCTTCTATATGGAGCTACAGGTATTATACTATAGATCAGCTGATCTGTTGAATCGGAAAGACCTTATCAAGAATGTAATGACACTGTTCGCTCGAATCCCAAATCGAATTAATGTGTCAAGTATCAATGACCAGAACGAGGCGGTACGCTCCCCTTCTAATCGACAGTATACATTTCTCGTGATCATAAATCACATAGTCGTCTCCCCAACCATAGATCATTTACCACTGGTATTTAGTGGGAACACAAAAGCAGCTTTTCTAGCTAAACAGTTCGCACTTCCTAAAGACAATCTAATGATAAAGACCGTCAAATGGAGCGTGAATGAAATGACGAACAGTCACATATTGTCATCGGCACGTAGGAATCACTTCCTCACTCCGTTTATAGCAGACTGCGTCTAAAAGGATTAAAGAAAACTGGTAGTCGTCGGCCACTCCCTTATAGATTGTAAATAGGGAGATTGGTAAGAGAACCTGAGCTACCCTTCGATCCATTCGTGAGGAAGCAAGAGAAAACAGTTCACTCCAGTTACTCTGTATTGGGTTTTCGGTAGAAGGTGGTGTGTGGGTTTTCAAGCAAGTTCCTTAAATTTGAACTCGGCCATAAATGGGTGCTGGCTGGGCCCCACTCTCCCGAATAATTATCAGAGAACAACAGTATCTTGTGAAATTTGGTGATGTCCAATATTTTATTTCACAGTATTATTTTATTACTTTATTTAGCTACTTCCTCGGTCGGGTCACTGCTTTGGACGCCACGTCATGAAAATTCCACTGCTGAATTCAAAGTGTGTCCGTTCAACGGCTCAATCAGAATTCTTATCGAGCCTGTTTCAAATTGGAAATAGATTTGATCGGAGTTATATTTGGCCGCCCAAACGATGCTAGTCAGAGAAATGACTTTCGGATGTTTACTTCGACTATTAATCGCATCATCCAGCTTATGTGCGCGTACGTGACACTCACGTTTGGGAGTGGCATTCAACACAATTCAGTTCCTCGTTAGATATTTTGGTAGCATACGGTAGAGAACGAGAAATCATGGAGAAGAGCATGTCGCTCTAAGCTTATTCAATCCAGTTTTGCGGATGAGCCATTCTTTCGGGAGAGAGAAGCAACTGGACGGTGAGTGATCTTATCCTTCATGATGACGATGGGAGTGGTGTATTGGCAAGTAGTGCATAGTAGCATACGCCTGGTATGATGACCGAACTCTTGGGCCGGTTTGTTATCCGCTAAGGTCAATGAAGCTTCCACCTCTTCTGGGTAGCTTGATTAATACCACATCATCCGAATGAATGAACCATTGAATCAGCTGGCCGCCACAAGTGATTGTATACGCCGAGTACGCCGCATTTAATACCAACACCGATATTACAATTCTGATTGAAAGTTGAATGCGGGCGCTTCTCATAGACGAGATTGATTAACGCCGAAAGACTCGATTTTTCAAATGGGAATCGTTCCTTAGACAATGTTGTAAGGCCGTAGCCTTTTCAATTATCCCACCTCGGCATCAAAAAGACAAAGTTATTGGATCTTACGGCCCTCCGCTTGAGGTGCCTGCCTCGAAATTCATTACTTGCTTCGCTAAGGGTTCAAAGCAGAAAGGTTGTAGATATGTAATTGGATAGAGGACTCATTCAGCGGCTTTGGTCAACCATCGTTTGAGCGATAGCGACCTCAACTACAAGTTTTACGCAGTCGCTCAAGAACAGTTGTGGATCCAGTAAACAAGCTTCAAGAGAGCAAGTGCATAAATTTCATTAGGTCGATGCGAATATCTTGAGACACACGTTTATCTTTGCTTCCTTATAAGCAACCTTAGCCATCCCTGGCCATCACTACATTCTGAAACAATCTAGGAAGTAATACCAGTAAATTTCAAATAGCTCCCCGAGCGCTTCTCTAGTAAACCATATCGCAATCATTGACAGATCAACGTTGATCAGCCGTCCTTCTACGAATGGTGCTGCAGCTCAGTCCTCGTTCCGCTAACTCTAACATCAACTCTGCATCGCTCTGCCAGTCATGCGACCGTTAGAACTTATTCGC